AATAAATATATATATATATATATATATATATATGTATATATAGACATAATAATATTTAAAAAACAATAGTAATATATAATGAACATAATATAAATATATTGATATTTTTTAAGTCATTTACCTGCGCTTCTAAACATTCTTTTTATAGGTAACTCTTTCCAATTACGTTGTTCTTTATTGGGCATTTTCCTTGTTATAATAGCCTTATTAATTCGAAGTTGCGTTTTCAAATGGCTAGGCCAAATACATGTTTGTTCAGCAAAGTTCAGCCATTGTGTAGGTACTATTTGTAGCCCATCAGAGAATTCCACAACCATAAATTTCTTATTGGAATCCATGCTCGTATGCCAATAAATACTTTGGCTATTCAACGTATACCGTCTATTATTGTAAGAAATTGTAAGCAATTGTAAGAAATATTGTTATGTATGAAACTATTTATTTTCCATGAATTAGAGGAAATATTGCAAACATTTTGGGATCATTCCCATAAGGAATTTTCCACGCTTTACACTTTAAGTCTGTAATCGGATATGAATACATATTGTCATTATTTATTGTCATTACGTTAATACTGAGCTCGTCAGATTTGCAAAGTAATTCATATAATTCATATAATTCATATATTGCACATATTTAAACTTTTTGTTTATTAAATAAACATCACCATTGTTATTTTCGATTATATTAAGAATCAAAATACATAAACCACTTTTTAAAAAAACAATTATCCCTGTCTCTCTTACAATTTATTTCGAATTGTTTATTTGACAATTGTAAATATTGTAACCGAACACCATGGACATCATCAGATAGTGGTCCATTATTATGCAAACTTTTGCACAAATATAGTTTATCGTTACTACAATTATTTTTTGATACCAAAGAACAAGTATTTTCAATTTCACTATATCTTCTAGCTAATTGTTGTAGCGGCTTTTCATTTTTTCTCAATAATCTTTTGATAGATGTCATAAAGTTTTCAAAACAAAATGCGCTAAAATTATCTAGCGGTCCAAAGATTCTTACATCGGGACATAAATACGAAAGATTATGGACATTATGTGAGACATACTGTTTGCCATATAATATTTCAAAAGAAATCACGAAATTATTGAGCAAAGCTTCTGCATAATTTATAAGTATGTCTTGGCACAGACTTGGACTTGCAAGTATTGTTATAGCTACCTGAAGTGTAATAAAATGATCATATAAGTCTTTTTTTAATATGTGTTTTAATACAACAAGTCCTGTGTATAAAAGGAAGTTTCGAAATTCCACAGCTTTCCACACTTTGACATCTCTCAAAGATCTAGGTCTTCTTACGAAGTCATTTGGCGTTGAATTTCTTAATGAAACTAATAAATGTGATATCTTGTTGATTAATCGTGGTGCTAGACGTACAGAAAATGGTCCTTTTATCCAAAGAAGTATCATCTTTTTTACAACTCCCAAACACACAAGGTGCATGTAATCTAATGGAGTGTGCGATATTGGTAAAAATCTC